AATGTATCAAATATACAAGAATAAACAAATGTGTATGTGTAAATGTATTTGTGTAAGTGTATGTGATTTATTTACAAGTGAAATAAAATAATAAAAAAAAGTTAATTTTGGATATTTTCATGTTTAGGGCAAAACCCTAATTTTTGCAAATAAATAGTATTTATTATTCATCATATACAACATTTATTAATTATGTACAAAAAATAAATAAAAAGGAAGTATATTGTAAAAAAGTGATTTTTAAGGTTAAATATTAATAAGAAAAAAAAAGTATTATTTTTATGTTTTTATCCTAAATATTCTAATAATTATATAAGTATTTGTATTATATATTAAATATATTAAATATACACAAAAATAAAATATTAATTATTTTACAAAAAAAAATATATTTTTTAGAAAATATTTTCAAAAGATAAAATAAAACAAAATCAGAAAATAGAATGTATTTTGTATTATTTTTTTAGTATTTTCAAATAAAAGTATATATGTTTATTTATATGTACAAGTTCAAATAAAAGCAAATAAATTCAAAATAAATGCAAAAATGTATGGAAAATATTTTTAATATTTTTTATGTTTTGACAAAAAATAAACAAGTCAGAAACAAAAAGAAAAAATCAAAAATGATAAAAATAAAGCACAATGGGCCAAGGGGGTGTATGTGAAATAAAGTGGTGCAAACAGAAAAAACAAGCCAGGCCCAGCCCAAAGGACTTTGTCTTCAACCTCCAGCCATTTTCAAACAAAAACGCGCGCCTTCTTGTTCATCTTCCTAACTTCTGATTCTTTGACTTTCAACAAAAACTTACAACATCAATGTTATAGAGCATCATGTCACGATTCTAAACATATAAAGAAGTTGATCTAACTCTCAGAAATGAGAGAGAATTTCTTCTCCCCCAATTCCTGACCTAACTTTTTTCTAATGTTCAGGTTCCAAATTCTCTTAACACACACAATATAAATGAAAAGTAATGATATGGGTGGATTCAGGGCCATGAGTAGGACATAACTTCTTCACAAACCTAAGCTTAGATATGCCTGGATAGAGAGATAGAAGTTCAAAAACTTACCTGTTCAGCTTGAATCGTGTGCAACAATGGAGGTACTTTCAATGCAGTGTGAGGACTTGTACAACTTGCTTGAGGTCCAGGGATGCTTCCTCTATGCTTGGCTTGCTCTGAATCCTTCTGAATCAAGCTACAGAAGTCAACCTGCACAGATGAAAAATGAAAATGGCACACTTGGCTATGGCTGTTACAGTTCCAGTTCAATGCTTGGAATAGCTTCAATGGATGTTAGGGAGTGTGTTTTAAAAGGTTTCAGCCAAAACGCACGATAGGAATGGACTGTGGGATTCAAACTGCAGCCTATGCCCTGTTTTGCCACAAAAATGTGTTTCTCTGTATATGGAGGTTTGAGAGATGGTTTGGTCGTGTTTCAGACTTGGTTTGATGTTTGGAAAATGCTCATGAAGTTTGTTTAGGCTTGTGTTGACAGGAATGAGAGATGGGATCAGTTATGCAAGTTTTCTTCTTTCTTAAGTCAAAAATGCCAAGTTGGGTTACAAGCTTATGCAGGCCCCCTAAACATGCTGCAAAGTTTTGTTCTTGATCAGTGGGATATGTCCACACATTTGTGCCTCAGAGATTTGCTTTGTACTTCTTAGATTGTAAACTTGACATAAAGTGTAACTTTACAAGAATAGATAAAATGCTTTTTCTAATTATGGCTTAATTCTTCATGCAATGACCAAATGCACAAAATAACATCTTGGCACAATGGTTTAGCATTGAATTATTGAGTACAAATGGGATTAGAGGCCTGTAACCTAGCTTGCACATGCTGATTTCAAAAATGCCCAAGTTATGAACATGTACATGGCTTATGAACAAAGTGACTTTTGCCCATCTTCACAAATTCGATTCTCCCTAACCACAAGGGTGTTTGAGAAGTTCTTGGACAATTTGGAAAGCTTGGAATGTGTACTATAATCCATCTTTGTAATGCAAGTTGAAATTCCAAATGGAAGCATGTGAAAAGTGGTCATGAAGTTAGGCAAAAATCCTGCCTAAAATAGGTCAAAATTTTTCTAAGTTAAGAATGTTTTGCACCCTTGTTCCAAAAATCATAACTTGAGCTACAAGCTTCTTTTGAGAAAACTTTGTGAATCAAAGTTGTATATTTTGCAATGGACTATAACTTTAATGTTTTGAGTTTTGTTTGAATCCAAATATATCTTGATGAAAAGATGGGACAAAGTTAGGAAAAAATAAGGGAATTTCATAACTTAGAAAAATTCTAAGTTATGAAATTTCTTCATTTTAAACCCTAATTTGTGATTTTTGATTTCTTGATGAACAAGTTTCATAATTTGACATGTCTTGATGAAAAATGAATCTTGACACTTGATTTTGACCAAAAAGTCAAAGTTTGACTTTTCAGTATACAGTCAAATTTTACTCAGTTGACTGGAAAATTCATCTGTCAATCTTGTGCATTTGGGATCTTTTGAACTTGTTGAACATGTCAAGACAATGCCATTGGGTCCTTGAGTCCATATGTGAGCTTGTTTTGTCATTGGCTAGGTCAAACAGTCAAAAATTGCCTTTGTGCAATCAAAACCCTAAAAATGACCATTTTGCCCTTTTGGTGATCTGATCAAATTTCTTGTGGATTTGTGATCCAAACTTGATCAAATGGTCCATATGAGTTCATAATGTTGATGTGGGTCAAAAATCACGAGGTTTGACTGTCAATTGACCACAGTTGACTTTTTCCCCAATACAGCTGATTTCTAGGTCAATTGTCCAATTGACTGGGCAAAGATTGGAATCAAGGCTTGAAACTTGGTATGGATAAACTTGTGAGTCCAACATGAAGCATGAAAGTCACTTTGGGCATTTTAGGTCAAAACATCTTTGTGCAAACTCAAACCCTAATTTGGGTCAACAGTGCAAGGAGAAGTCTTGAGCAGAGCAAACCCTAACTTGGTCTTGAGCTCCAAGGGTCTTGTGGTGAGAAAATATTGATGAAATGGGAGGGCATATTTTGGGGTACAACAACTGGTTTTTAGAGAAATTAGAGCATATTGATGGTTCGGGGTGGAGGTGGGGTGGATCAAAAGGGTATGTAGTAAAAGGTGCGTATAAGTTCTTGCTTCAAGGGAACACCATATATGAATTTCCCTATAGTAAGTTGATATGGAAGAAAATCCTACCTAGTAATATTTTGGTGTTCTTGTGGAAAGTGTTGAAAAACAGGTTGCCATCTAGGGAAAATCAAGGGCAGATAATGATACCTTCCCGTTTGGGAGCGTTGAGAGAGAGAGTCCCTTTCTCATTTATTTATTGACCGCGCTTGTGCGAAAAACATTTGGCATAAGGTATTTAATTGGCTGATATACTGACAATCCCCAGGAATTAGCAGCAAATTTTGAAAACTTTATAGGACTGCTGGGAGAAAGAGAAAGACCAGTGAAGTATTTGGCTTGTATTTGGTCCTCTGTTGCTTGGACGATTTGGAAAACAAGGAATAACAAAAAATTTAAAGGGAAGGATTTGGAGGAAGATAGATTATATAAAGAGGCGAAGATCTTGTCTTGGAGCTGGATTTGTTATAAGTCAAAGGGATTTGTTCAACCATTAAATCAATGGATTCGGAACCCGTTAAATTGCATAAGCATTTGATCTCCTGGTGGCTCCTTGTATGTTGTCTGGTTTTGGTCTACTCAGATTGTGCGACACCTCTAGGCTTTCGTATTTGTTGTCCCTAGTCGGAACTATTGGTGTTTTGCTTTGCTGCTATGGAGTTTTCTCTGTCCCAATTTTTCTGTTTTGCTCTTGGTTTAGAGTGTCTTTCCCAACTTTTGAAGGGCAGTGCGACGGTGGTGTCTCCTGGTGGCTGTGATGCAGCCTTAACTTTTCTCTTGCTCGGTCTTGTGAGTGGCGCTTATCTTCTGAAGCATTCCTTTTGTGGCGTAGTCAGTTTAGCTCTTGTTCCTTGTTCGATGTTAGAACGATCTCAATTACCGGTCTTTCTTCGAAGCATTATCGTCGTATGTGCGCTGCAACACTAATTTAGGGTGCTAAGAAGTTCTTGGGAGACTATTCTTATTTTCTTCTTTCCTGTTTTGGTTTCGAGCTGCTGGTATGGCCTGTGTTTTTTTCTGGAGATTTTATCGGCTCCTCCGTGGGTATTGGCTCCCGGTCTTGTGGATCAGTCCCATCTAGAGGTTTTTGGAGCATAGTTTGCATTTGGATCGAAGTGAAATCTGATCTACATAAGGTGACACAATGGTTTGGTGGAATCCCTTTTTTCCTTTTCTTGTTTTAGTTTGGCTTAGGAATTGTTCCTCTGTATTTGGAACACTTCAGTCCATACTGCTTCCTCCATAAGTTGTTTATGTTAGAATAATATAGCAAGTGTGAGTAAGTGGGTAATGTGTAGACTTAAGTATATATAAGTGAGAGAACTCACTCACCTATCACCTTAAGGTTTTAGGTGGATAAGTGATGTGTCTCTCACAAAAATATTTATTCCTACACTATTTATCGATGCTCCTAATATCTCCCCCTAACAGTTTCTAGTATTTTTTCTTTGGTGGATTTTGGGATTATATCAACTGTTTTGTCTGTAATAGCACTACTTATATTGATTTTTAATAAATTTGGCTTTTTCAAAACAAAAAAAAATGCTGATTTTTAATAAATTTGGCTTTTTCAAAAAAAAAAACAGTGGATATCCTTTAGCTAATAATGTAATTTGAATTGAATGCGGAGAAATTCCGTCCCATGTCTAAATGAGTTGTTTTTAATTTAATGAATTAGAAGAATGAGTAAAATGTAATTCAATTTTAATTTGGTTGGAAGAGTATATTAGGGAGTTATTAAGCATCTTCCATGTTTAGATAAATAATTGATGATAACACATCTAAACCCTCAACCCAAGCCCCGCGGTGGTAACTGGTAAAACAAGATATTCGGAGAAGAACAGCCATGTCGAATCACTGTTTATCAAGTGCTCATTTCCTCACTATCGGAGCAACCCGCTCCCTTCCCTTGCAACCAAAACCACTTCTCTTCTCCCTCACTCTCTCTTCTCGCTCTCACAACCTCCACTCCTCAATCGTCGCCGTCTCTTCCAAAAAGAAAAACAAGGTTTTTCAATTTCAACAATATCATTCCAATTCCAAATTCCAATACAATTCATAGTTTAGAATTGCCCAATTATGTCTATGCTTTGTATTTTGCAGGAAAAAATTACTCATGTTACAGAGGGGAACGACGAGGAGGATGCATTTGAAATGCTGTTTAAGCAACTTGAAGAAGATCTCAAAAACGATGACGACGATAGCGTCGATGAAACATCGGAAGAGGATATGGCTTTGTTTGAACGTGAGTTGCAAGGTGTGTTAGGTGATTTTGATGATGCTGAAAAAACCGGCAAGGGTGGAAATGATAACTCGTTGAACCTTAGAACTTGGCAATTGAATAAATTGGCTAGAGCCTTAAAAGCTGGACGCCGCAAAACAAGTGTAAGCGTTTCTGTTTAGAAATTTTTACACTATCTACAAATCTTAATCAATCATATATATGACTATAGAATAGAAGTAGTAGTTATCATTGAAGTGGAAGTTTAACTCATATGAATATTTTGATTGAGTGATACAGTTTTAAAAATATTTAGAGTGTATGAATTGAATCTGGTGGAAAACTAGTCAGGATAGGATTATGAATGAAAATATTAGAGAGAGTGTTGAGGTAGCACCTATAGTAGAGAAGATGGTGAAAAATAGATCTATGTGGTTTAAGCATGGTCTTAGATAGAATATTATGGCAAAAGTTGACTCCACTTAGTGTGGGACAATACTTGTTTGATGTTGTTGTTGTTGTATGAATTGAATGTGATTAGTTATATATTGAGTTGATAGCTAATAGAAATATATGTGTTTATACTAATCTGTACCATGACAAAAATGTATCAGATGATGGGAAGTTTGATTATAGTTTGAATTTTGAAAACGTTAGGTGCTCTAGTTTCTTTCCTAATTGAAATACCTCTATGTGTATCATCTGCATTTGAGTGATGCCACACAATAAATGTGTTCAGAATCTGAAATGTTGATGGAAAAATGTCAAATGTTTGTTTAAACCTTTTATTCAAAATAGTGTTAGAAATATGAATAATGTTCTGATATGCCCCTCAACCTGAGCTTTTCACCGTAGTTGATAGAATGAAGCTTCTTTTGTCTGGATTCATTGATATGAAGATGGAAAAGGTAAACTTGATAGATCAGCTAGGTTGAGTTTTCTTTTTTTGCTTTTTAAACGACCCGGGGTCCTGACTGAAGGCAAATATATTATACTAGCTAATAGTACTAATTAGTGGAGAAAATCATCGGTTGATTTCCAAACACCATATCTTTAGCTTCAATATTTTTTTTAAATGTTTATATTAAGAATCTAAGATGGATTTTCCTTGAAAGAGATGCAAGTTTGAAGGCAGTTACTATGCGTTCATGTAACAAAGAAAGAAGGAAGGAAGGGATCTTTGTATTGTCAAACATACTCAGCATGAAACACCCTGAGCTAGATGCTAGGTCAATCCATGATGTTGATTTGGGTTTCATTTCTCAATTTTACCTTTCCAATTTGTTTCAGATAAAAACTCTTGCTGCTGAGCTCTGTCTTGATAGATTTCTTGTTCTTAATTTGCTTCGTAACCCTCCTCCAAATCTTCTGATGATGAGCTTATCGATACCTGATGAACCCACACCATCAGCAATATCTACACCAGGAGAGAATTTTTATCAAGAAACAAGTGCAGATCATGCAGAATCTGGACCCAAGTCTAACTTACCTATTCATACCATGCAAGAGAATTGGTCTTCTCGAAAGCGATTGAAAAAGGCTCACCTTGACACTCTAGAGAGAGTTTACACGAGATCAAAGCGGCCCACTGTAAGTAAAAGTTGCCATACTTCAATATCATAAGTTTTAAGATGCGAAATCACCCATATGCAACGAGTAAAATTTTCATTGGCTTAACTAGTTCTGATTTGATGTACTCCATTTTTCTCCCCTAGTAGCAATTCCCTCTGCAAGATTAACTCCTCTCACTATGTCAACTGTCACCTTATATGTTTCTTTGTGCATATATTCTATTGAAAGTTAAACACTTTTTGTATCCATCACTGCATATATTATGCATTAATGGTGACAAACAAGAGTCTTGGTAGTTAATATAATCCTTTTTCAATTCTCCTTATTGTATAATTTCTTAACTTCAATATCCTTATCTGGCTGCTTGAAATACAATGCAGAATGCAATGATTTGTAATATTGTGCATGTTACAAACCTTCCGCGGAAAAAAATTGTTAAGTGGTTTGAAGACAAACGCGCCGAGGACGGAGTTCCAGAACAGCGCCTTCCTTATCATCACTCAGCTAATGAAACTGATTGAAGATTTTATTTTCTGAGTTTATGTGAAAAATGAGAAATCTTATAACTGAAAAAAAAGTTTCACCAGCCTTAGGGGTGAGTTGTATAAGGAATGATGATTGTGATTATTTGTTTGGTATAACACCGACACTCAAATTATTCAAAAAAGAGTCTGCTGAAATGTCAGATACATTAGGAATTATTCAATGTTTGTATACATCTTTTTCCATTTATTATTAATATTTTTGCAATGTTGCAAACTGGCAAAAGTTGTTTCCATTCCACCCAAAAGATTGTCTTTCTTGGCGGAAATCTCACCGTCGATTAAATAAAATATATTAAATCCAACCATTCGTTTTTATTTATTGTCCAAAAAGGACAAGATCTAGATTTTGAAAAATTGGTTGTCAATTTATAAGCATCAATTGTAGAATTCCATAATTTATAAGCATCAATTGTTGTAGTAGCAAATAGGGGTGTTTAGATCTAATCTAATCCAAAAAAGAAATCGAAAATCGAATAAAAAAATTGAAAATCGAAAAAACTGAATTTTTTAAGATGTGTTTGAATCATTTAATAGCACAATCGATCGGTTCAGATTGGTTTTCGATTGACTGTATGAAAACTAAATCGATCCAAATCGAACTAAAGTATTTTTTTCACTTATTCTTATTTTATCATTATTTATTAAATATAATGAATACGCATTTAAAAAAAAAAACTAAAAACATTAGAATTTTCCCACCGTTCTATAAATATCTTTTCCCAAAATATAATTTGATTGTACCTGACCATAATGGATCGTCAAAGTCTTACGTCGAGCAGATGTTGGAAGTGAGATGGGGGATACCTGTAAGACACTTCGTTGCCAAAGTAAGTTTCAGGGAGAGTGCAAGCAAGTGAGTATGGGTATGAAAGAATGAATACCCGACCCTCTCAAGAGAGAGGGTATTTATAGCCTCCTGTGCTGGGCCATGGTCTCCAATGTTGGGTCACGATGAAGTCCAATAAAGAAGATTGTCAGGGCTTCATGTGTATGAAGGCAGCATGTGGCCTTCTCCCTGGTTGATTGCCCCGAGAAAGCAGGAGTTGGACCCGATATTCTCAAAGGGCAAGATGGTGGTGACGATAAGGGCACGTGGGCCACGTTCCCCAACAGATACATGGGGAGTTTCTCAACGGTGCCCAACTTGGGTTGTTTGCTTTTGGGCCTTGTGCAAAGGTGTTGGATTGGACCTCCCCAACAGTGGGGCAAGTGCGGGCCCAGTTCAGATCAAGAGCCCCCAAGTCATTGCTCTTAGGTGAAAGGGTGATGACTTAAGTTCAGCTTTATGGTCGGGAAGAATTTGCTCGAGAAGGGAGGTCGAAGTCCTCTGACGGAAATGAGTTGTTGCCTGTGTTAGGGATAACCTGTTTGACCGTGTCGGGGATCTCGTGGATAAGCGAGCTATGAGACCGACTGGGTCTGTTGTTCGTCCAATTTCTAACGGGAGTATATAGGCTACGGGGAGCTTCCACGAACTCTTTTTCGATGTGCCCGTCTTCAAGGGGTTGTTGCGATATCGAGCGTTATTCCGCTTCCGAGGTGGATCACGACGATTATGCCCGTATGCATGTTTGTCATGGCGTCGAGCATATCTTCATGTGAGGAATTTGTATCGTGTTCACGTATGAAGTTTCGTGTTAAAGCCTGGGAGATGTTCGTCTCTTGAGAATGGACATGTGGCTGATTGTTGGGCCACGTGGCTGTTGCTTTGGGGTGCCATCTTTTCATTGGGAGTCCAATAGGCCCAATCCAATGATGACTTTTTGTGATAAACCTCGTGGGGTATGAACCACCTATAAAAGGGGGACTCCAGGGTTACATTTATTATTTCTCAAGTTTTCTTCTACAACTTCCCTTGCCCGCGCGTGAATCCTCCCTTCTCAACTTCTTCTCAGAGTTTTTCAAAGCATCTTTATCCAAGTAAGTCATATTCTCCTAATAACATGTTTTCTTTAGAATTCTTAGATTAAACGCATGGTTTTTGTCTTAATTGGAAGAATCTTGGATGAAAATTCTTGGGTTATACGATGAACGTCCATGAATGTCCATTGAAGTTCATGATAGGTAGATGAGCTTCATGATGTCGGGGTCATGATCCCCGATTAGTGGGGATTGATTCGGGCACCTTGCCCGTTTGACTAGATATCCCCAATAGAAGTGTGGTTGGTTTTAGTGTGCGGTCAAGGGCTTAGGTTGAAGTCCGTCCCTCGACGACTTCCTCGCCCTTTCACTTGATTTGCGGTGGAAGGGTAAATTTGATGACGTCGAATTCACTATTTTCCCATGCTTTTCAGGTATAATGGCACATTCAGTCGGGGAGGATGTCTTGCCCGCCCACCACGAAGATGAAATCAACATCGAGGAGGACCCTTTGGCCTGGGTAACCCCTGAGCCTAGAAATAAAAGGTTGTGCTTTTCGCATGATGCAACAGACGCGTTCAACTGTCTGGAGGTTCGAGCTAAGGGGGACCCTGCCAACTGGATTCTCCAAATTCCTCATCGTAATCGGAGGATTTACTCGGCATATTCGTGCAAACGTCTTCCCATGTACGAGTTTGCGTTTGAAGAGGAGGGGATGTGTTTGCCCTTTAATGACTTTCAAGTGGGGGTTTTCCAGTGACTTCAATTGGCACCTTCTCAACTTCACCCAAACGTGCTGGCGTTCATGCGGCGATCGAGCTCGTCTACCAGTATCTGTAAATAGGTGTTATGCAGTCCCTCTTCTTCTATATCTTCCACTTACAAAGGCAATCCATTGGAGGAGGGCAAGCGTGGGTGTCCTTCAAACAGTTTGGGAAACTGTTTCGGCCATACTTGGAATCTGTCTGCCATTTCAAAGAGAGGTACTTCATCGTGAATCCTCTAACGGGCGCGGCCATAGATTCCTTGTACAACCAGGTGGAAAATATAGAAGACGGTCGGCCAGTAGTCCGGATGATGGCAAGATTCCCGCTTGAATGGCAGTGGAAACATTTCGAGAAAAGGCTCGAACGTTATGCAGTAAAACCTGAGGATTTAGACGCGCATGACCAACTCTCCTATGAGAAGCTGGCGTCCTATGTGAAAAGTTTCTCCCCAGTGAGATGTGTAGACATGAACAACAACCTCCTCTTCGACAATGACAAGGAGTATCTCCTTGTTAAAAGGTTTATCAATACAAAGGCTTTGCTCGAATGTTCTTCAGACGAGGAAGCCATGAGGCTTTTAGGTAGGGGATATGGTCGTGGCCTTATTTTCATGTCTGCCTTTCGCGCTGGGACATGCTCGTGATATTTGTCTTTGTTTTATCTCGTGACTGAAAGTTTCCTTTTGATTGCAGGTCAGATGACGTCCCTTTCCGTGCGTCTCTTAAAGTTGAGGCCCAAGAATGCTTCTACCTTGGGGCCAAAGAACAGGGTCACGCAACTCCAGGAGCAGGCCAAATTTGCTGCTGGCTTTCCTTCTTCCTCAAAGACCCGGGTTCCCCCCAGCGAGTTCGCCCAGGTTCCCTCCAGCGAGCCCGCAGTAAAGAGGAAACGCGTGGAGGATATCGAGCGCGTCGTGCCCGAAGGTGATAAGAGGCCCGGGGAGGTCTTCATGCTGCCTCCCTGTTATCTAAACCGTGATGTATTTAGCAGGGAGAGCTCTTTGGGCGTTCAAGAAGAGGAAAAGGAGACGATTATGTCCGAGGATAAGGAGGTCCATCGAAAAAACTTGGTGGAGGATGTGGTTGCTATGATGAGGGTGCTCGAGATGGCCTTGACGTTAAATGATGAGGCCGTAAGCTCTCAGGCATCCCTCGACACAACATATGCTAAGATTCAAAAGCTGAAGGCCAAAAATGAGAAATTAAAGTGCGACATCCTCAACCACGAGTCAAAGTTCGAGGCCCAAGTTCGACTTCTCAAGGATCTCAATGAGCTGCATCCCTAACTAGATGCTGCGACTAAGGAGAACGAGCGCCTGGTTGCCCGAGTAAAGGAGTTGGAAGGGATCGTGGCCCCGACCGACGAAGAGATTGACGCAGAGAAAGCCATGGCGACTAGGGTAGACTTTATCGCATGCATCCAGGTGCTCGAGCAAGATGTCATGGACACACTCAGCTATGGTTTCAACATAGCCGTAGAGAAGCTAAAGATTTTGACCCCGGGGGTCGAGATTGCGGTCGAAGGCGCGGGGCCGTTTAACCAAGTTATTGATGGAAACATCTTCTATCCTTACGAAGATAGCAACGGGGAGGATGAGTTTTAATGTTTTAGGGTATGTGTGCCTGTTCTTGTTTTATTTTGGGCTCGTGGCCTTCGTGCCTAATTTTGTAATCATTTAAACAACATCGCCCTTCGTGGTCGGCATTTATGAATGCCTTTATTATGCTTTTATGCCTATTTATTTATAAACAATTGCTTGTCGTTGTGTTTGACTTGCTTAATGTATGAAAGTTGGTATTTCTAAGGTTGGAGATTTGTGCTCGACCTTGGTTGTGATCAACACATGTCGAATGTGTCGAGGAAATGGAGTAGGGATCCAATGAACGAGCTCAAGATCACGGTCGAGATCTTAAGCTCGTGGCGTGAACTGCCCATTGCGAGCTGGGTGTTCTGCCTATTGGGTACTTTGACAGTAGAGCTCAATTGAGGTGTCCCTGTCGGGATAAGGTCCTGCTTGATAAATGAACAACAACCCTCCTTTCATTGTGTTTGGAGGTCATGTCCGTACCTCGACATGCCTCCATGGTCGAGCTTGTCCCATTGTCGGTTGAAGGGGACTGGTCGACTGCTAATGCTCGTAGTCGGATAAGGACTTCGCTGTAATATTGTTCCAGTTTCATTGTGTTCAATGGTCGAGGAGTGGTTCTAGATTTAAATGCTCAAGGTAATATGCCCCGGTGCCCGTAGCTCTGCTGACGCAGTATGGTCCATCCAAGTTTGCAGCCCGCTTCCCTTCGCGAGAGTCTTTCTGATTTCTCCACAGGACTAGGCTATCGAGCTGGAATTCAC